TTTGTGTTTTTCTAACATAATGAAAGTACTTGTTTTAAGTTATTGCTAGATATCCATAGTAATATACAGTTGTATTATATACCATTTTCTTTTGCTACTAAATGTTGATTTATTGGTTGTGTTACAGCTTGTAGTTATAGATGTAAGTATTTATGTCGAGTTTTATAAGAATATAAAAAAACTGGACTGTGTTATACAATACACGAGGAGTATCAAAAGCTTAAAATCGCATGGAATGAAATACAAATGTGAGTGTGCTGTAAAACATCCACTGATATCTGCTGTAGTGAGTGTCTTGGGGACACTAATGTTAGTTAAGTTTTCAATTCTGAATGTTCAACAAACATTCTTTACTGTTTCTCCATATGTTTAACATTTTTATGTTATTTCAAACATAAAAAAAGGAAACTTTTACCCTAAGCAACATTTCAGTTCAATAATTATTTCAAATGTTACCAATCCCCCATCATTTCATTAGTAGACACTGCATGGTTGAAGCTTGTAAACGACTATTCGTAACAGATTTCTTTAAAGTTTCATTCTTTATACCACAGAAAACCCTGAGCATATAATCTGAAATAATAACCTACTCAACAAAGAACACGACCAGTCCATTACAAATTTAAACACTATTATTAAACGTAACCATACAAAGTGAAATTATATCCTACTCAACACGTCAGGGACCAGTTCATTATAAATTTAAACCCTGCAATTAAATGTAACCATAAAAACTGATTGTTCGTTTGTTTTAAGTTAAACACAAAGCTACACAATGGGCTATCTGTGCTCTGCCCACCACAGGTATCGAAACCCGGATTCTACCATAAAAACTGAAATGATATTTTAATTAATATGTGGCTATACTATTCATTTACAATTGTAACCCTCCTACTAAACATAACTAGAAAAACTGAAATGACATCCTATTCAACAAACAGCAAGAGCCGTCCATTAAAAATTTCAAACCTGTTATTAAATGTAACTATAACAAATTTGTTATATTATTAATTTATTAAAATATTACTGTACTGTCATTAATCACCATCTCTTAGTAATAAAAAAAAACATACTTTGTTCTTAGTTGATGAAGATGACACTATCTTCATTAAAAGAGCATCTCTCTGAGAAATTAGTCCAGGCATAACCATCAATGATGTAATATTACAGTCTTCACATGAGAATGACTGGTATTCTACTCCAGTATCAGTTTCCATAATGATCACCTGTACAATGATTAAAAACAGCTACATTACAAATATTTAAATGTATTTATTACGACATTTTTTTTTAGTTTGCTGAACTGTATAACAAATCTTATGTTGAATAAAATGACTGTATAAAAACATTTTTTATGAACATGGAGGTACTTAAGAACGTAAAATCTCATTCAAAGTTGCTTTCATATTTTACTGGAATTCAATTTAAATATAACTGATAGTAAGAATAAAAATAACAGTGAACTAAGTTATGAGAGTTATTATTTTGGTACTCTGAAAATATATTTCTAATAAGTACTTACCTCCTGTCACATAATGGCTTTTCTCATTCAGTGCTGCCTTCTATATGCACACATTTTCACCTGCCACCATCTTTGAGACTCCCATCTACCCAACGATCAATGTGCTTTACTGAGTCTTCACGTGTATATTATCATGCGACAAACCTCCACCAATAGGAGTGCAACACATCCTCCTGATGCAGTTTACTCACTCTGTTCGATTTTGCTTGACAATCACTTTAAGATTAAGCAGTAAATAAGTACCAGTAGTTAGGAGGAAGGGGTGGGAAGTGTGACTGGAGGTAAGTACCTATCAGAAATATATTTTCAGTTTGGAAAAATAATAACTTCCAATACAGTACCTTACATGGGCCAGCACCAACGATATAGATGAGCACCTTATGAAAGCATCT